AAATAAAAATTGTCTACATTGATCATAAGGTACAGAAGCCCTATAGATATTTCTTCCTTCCTTTTTTTATTTTATTCAATTGAAAATAATGCAACAGTATTTTTATATGTTTTTAGGATTTTGCATTTGATCTATTCACTTTTGTCATGAATGCATAAAATCCACAGAGTCTAGTTTATAATGTGCAATTCTGAGGATTACTACATATAAACCTGAACAATTGAAAAATTCTTTAATTGACTCTATCCTTGAGACATTAAACAACTAAGATCAACCCAGCCGAGACATTCAAAACGAAGTCTGGCAACCAGTATCTCCAAATTCAGAAATTTCTCAAACAAACACGATAATCGATCAGGATAAAAAAGCCTTTCACTTTCCTAACATCTCAATGAACTTCCCTAGAGTCAAGAAACCCTCGGACAAATATAATCAATCTTCTTAAAAATCTCTCTGCATCTTCCTCAAATCTGGACCAATCGCTTCGAACGCATCCGCAGTTAAAAAATTCGTGAACGTAGACAAGATGACGAAACGTACTTCTCAGAGGGTAAATCGAGCATCGGTCCTCGGCAGATTTCGAGCAGGTTTTTAATTCGTTTTTAGATAAACTGTTACCCGTTTATTGGCCAGCTTCGGGAACAAGGCTGGCAGCTGGGGTGGGATTTCAATAAACGTCGATACTCGACGAGCAGAGTTAAAAGCTCATCGGCGAACCGCAGGACTGCCGGCCACTGTTTCATAGCAGGGCGTGCTTCATTTTTAATTACATGCCCACTTTGTTCCACTCGAGGACTCGGGCGGTCGCAAGTTCTCGCGCCAAGCGTTGAGAGCCCAAAGAGCGCAGAAAGAGAGAAAGAGAGAAAGAGAGAGAAAGAGAAAAAGAGAGAGCGCAGCGCAGCGCGCTTGTTCGCCAGTTGTTCGCGGCGTCGGCCGAGATTGAACAACGAACTCGCGATTCGTTACCACCCGCGCAATATACCCGGGGATTAAAACGAGAAGCGGTGACAAGAGAGAAACAAACCTGCCGCGAATGGATTCGCGACTGACACATTTTGCACGGCCCTGTCCGAGTACAAATTTAATGAGTGTTCCGAACTGGGTTGCCGCCTGTCCGCGCGAAACGATGAAACTCTTGCACGATTTTATCCGACGAGTTTTCTCGTTATCGTGGAAAAAACTGCGATAATGGAATGCACATTGAATAATATCATCTTGCGGCGGGGATGTTACGGTAACTTGTGGTCTTCGATGGTTGTATTGCTACGGTAGTTCACGCATTTGCTCGTGGTCTTTTTGGGATGTCATTACGTGCAAACATAGATTTATGTGTATTTTTGCGGAAAATATTTTTAGACGATACCTACGTTGCTCATTTTTATTCGATTTTGTTCCATTATTCCTGGAATATCTTTTAATGATAAGATTTTTATGCGATCTCTAATAGTTTCACTATGTTTTGAATATTTCTTTGAGTTTTTGAAATGTGATCATTTCCGTGTGATAGTAATTAATTCTTTATGTGTTATTCATTTCTTGGAGACAGTTAATCTGATGTTTGAACTTTCGCAGATTTCTGTTATGAAGAATTATAGGAGTTGATTTTTTAATGCTTTTCTGCTAACAGTTGCTCTTTTTTGTAAAAGCTAGATACATTTTTTACTCATTTCCTAGATTTATAAATTTCAAGTTGACTTGATTAGGTTGCTTAGAAGAAAAATGAGATTTGAAGAAATAATACAAATGGGGTATCTAAATATAAGAAATGTGTTTCAAAAAAAAAATAAATGAAAGGAAAGAATAGATTGCCCGAAAATTGAGAAAATATTTGGAGAATGAATAGACATCGTTTACAAATTGAAAAACTATTTGAAGAAACAGTAAACATCCCTCAAAATTAAGAAAATAATTTCGTAAATCATAGATGTCACTAAAAGTTGAAGAAGTGTCTCAAGAAGCATGAGTCCTCCCGCTAAAAATTAGAAAAATGATTGGAAACGAAGAAGCTAGAACCCATCTAAAAATTAGAGTGATATTAAAAAGAATAAATATGGCCAAAAATTGAAATAATAAATACTAGAAACCCTCAGAATTATGAAAAATATTCAAATAAATAGTAGACGTCCGTAAAAATTTTGAAGGATATCATAAAAGAGTAGGCAGCGCTGGAAATAAAAAATAACATTTAAATAAAGTGTAAACTATTCTAAATCTTGAGGAAAATATTTTAAGAAAGTGTAGAGGTCGCTAAAAATTGCGACCTCTTTTTTAAAAAAAGTAAAAATTTGAATAGAAAGTAGACAGGGTCGGAAACGTTCAAGAAAGAGCAGGCACCGCTAAAACCGGAGAAACCGTAGGAAAAGGGGATTTCAATGAAATCATCGATTCCAAATAAAGATAGTGTTTACCGTGGTTTGCGTTCGTGTTCTTCAAGCGAGATCTCGGTTTCCTCGTCGCCAGCTTCCGCGATCCGTATGAAAAAGTGAGGGCGACAAGCCGGCTAGGTAACCACAGGCGCAGTCAGCTCCGAACTGTGTCACGACGAAGTAAATGGCGGCGGGTATTCGCGGTATAAAGCAACACTCGGCAGCATTAAAATCGCCCGCTTGGTGGTCTATCCGTGTTGGGGTAACGACCTACGCGAGCTCTCGTCGATTCATTATAAATCGACGGATGGTTCTGTGAATCCAATAGCCTGTGGAAGAGCCGGTTCAAGCGGGGAAAGAGCTTATTCCGGGGCAACGATCTTCGACGGAATCCTCGCGAGTCGCTGAATCTCCATCGGAGCGAGAGACCTGGCTTCGTGTCGATTTGCAAAATTGAATCGAGTTGTCCCTGTTTCCTGGCATCGCTAAACGAAGAGGAAAGAGGGAGAGAGCGAGCGCGCGCGCGCGCGCGACCGAGAGAAAGACAAAAAGTGAAAGAAGAAAAGCAGAAAGTGCTCGAGCCACGAGACAAAACATTGAAAGAAATCGCGGCGAACCGGAACGCGGAAGAATATTAATAAAAACGAGGGAAAAGAGCGAGCCTCGACTCGGGCTGGAGAGGCTTCGGGGGTCGCAAACATTTCAAATGCTAATTCCGGGATGGCTGCCGCCGGATAGGGACAGGAAAAGAAGAAGAAGAAATTAATTAGGCAAGGGGGAAACGACCGGCAGCGATTCCACGAGAATTCTTTGGCCGAACGGGGATACGGTAATTGGCGACGTTTCCAGAATTTCAACGGCGGTACAATAATCGGCGGATCGAGGCTTCGACAATGCTGTCTCGATGCCTGCCTCACAATCGGGAATCTATTAGCCTGCGTTCGTCGATCGATCGATAGCTTCTTGTCGGATAGAGGGCTCTGCCAGCTAGCTGAGGTCCAGCACAGCTGCTGCTGCTGCCGAACCGCTTCCGGTTTCCATGCTGGTCCGAGAAAAGATGGTGACCGAAATAACATGAAAGCCGCGATGAAAGGAACCCCCGTAATCGGACGCAACCGGAATCTTTCAGCGAACCACGCGCTGACAATTAAACGCGTTCATGCTGCGCCCTGGTATGCTCCTCATTAGGCTGCGATCTAGAGGGGCCAGATTATTGGGACGCTTCGGGGACATCGAAGGTGACATTAGAAACACCGTGAGGTTTTGTGGCTGGGCGAAGAGGTGATAGAATCTAGGGATTTAGGGTATGATCTAGGATCTGCGTTGAAGGCATTCGAATTTGGATAGGGGATTTTCTTTCATTTTAGATGGAGATGTTTTGGGATCTAGTTGGCGAGAAGGAAAAACTGGTTTTAGCTAATTTGAAAATGGAAAATTCGTGTAGAAACCAGCGATTTATATGGGTGCACAAAATGGTTATTGCACTAATTATACAGAAGTAGTTTGAGAAATTTCGCAATGCGTGTAAAACTAACGTGAAAATCTGTTGGATACCTTTGCAGATCTGCGTACTGTGACTTCGATAATTCACTTGTAGATCAGCTTTAAATTGATGCGTCCTTGAACAACAAGATGACTATACCGTTTCATTATGAAACAGCGTGATTACAGTGCAAGGTTCAGTAAACGAACCTAAACGTCAGTCGCACAGTGGTTTATGCATTTGAAGAGTAGAGTGTCTATGATGTGAAGCTTCATTACTGCAGTGAAAATTGACTAGCCAACTCGCGAATCAGCCTCGCAGTCATCTATAAACTGGAATAAAACGGTGTCCGGATTGTTTCAATCTAAAACAGTCTATCACAGTGAAAATTTGCTAGAACCAACTTCAGGACAAGCGACGCAGTGATCTATAAGCTTGAACGAAAAGGTGTCGGGAAGATTTAATCGTAAAACAGTGACATCTACGATCTCCACGTAATTCAGTGATTCTAAGAAACAGTGCGACCCGTTCACCGAACTTCTAAACGAAGAAACGAGTCCCTGAAACAAACACGCGTGTGAACCGTGCCGTGCCCACCTTACCCAATCTCTGAAAGACCGCAGAGGTGGGAGCACTGATCCAGAGCGAGGGATCGAGAGCGGCGCCTAGCGGTCTCTATCGCTGGATGCATATCCGCGTGAAAGAAGGAAAACGAAAGTAGCGGGAAGAGAGAGAGAGAGAGAGAGAGAGAGAGAGAGAGAGGGAGAGGAGAAAAGTCGCGGCAGCGAAACTGATAACCATCTCGCACGCGAATTGTTCGTAGGTCTGAAAGGCGACACGGGAGCAAATTAAGTTCGCTATCCAGGTTCCATTAGCGGTGGTGGCTCGTGGATCGATATAAACGTAGGAGTAGGAGCGAAGGAAGAGGAGAGGTAGAGGAGAGAAAGAGGAAGAGGAAGAGAAGGGAAACGAAGGGACAGGTGGGGGAGGGGGACAGAATATGCTGACAAGGCGAGATCTGCAATAGCGATCGGTGAATCGCGCGGAATGGCCGGCACGGCAGCGGGCCGGACGGGCTCGGAGCGGGCTGTAAGCGGGCTTGAAGCGGGCTCGAAGCGGCGCCGGTGCTCGGTATTATCGGCGTCGACGCCGTCGTGGGGCTCACGAGCGAGCAAGCGTCGTTCGGCGGCAGGTACGAGGGTAGGGGGAAGCAAGGTAGCGTGGGAAGAGGCAGGTAGGGGGTACGATGGCAAAAGGCAGAAATAATTCCACATTTGCCGAGCTGGCTCGCACGTGTCACACGCCTCAGGCCCGCACACGTGCGCGCACGCGTCCCTTCTTCTTCTTCTCGGCCTGTTCGCGCGACACGTGAATAGACGAACGACGAACCGGGACGGCCCAAAACCGGAACAAGGGGAGCAGTGGGGAGGCGTTGAGAGAAAGAGAAAGGGAGAGAGAGAGAGAGAGAGAGAAAAGGGAGCTGTAGGGAGAAAGAGAGAGAATCGCGAAGAAGGTAGTAGCCGACAAGGAGAAGTGGTGGCAGCCACCGGCACCGCGGCGTGGCAGAGGGTGGCGGAGAGTGTGCATCGCCGCGAACTGTTGAAAAGGGGGAGAGAAAAAAATAGGAGGGAGAGCGAACCGGGAAGGATGCAGTGTGATAGTCGGCTCCAGGATCGTGATTAAAGCCTGTGACGCCGACCAGCCACGCGGATTTTCCTCCGAAATATATAGCCGGGCGATGTGCAAGAATAGGAGGCAAGCAGCCAGGCTCGCGAGCAACGCGTCTCTCCAGAGACCGAATGGAACGTGAGCTCGCAGTGAGCACCGCGACGCCGCGGCGTCACCCGGACCCGCGTTCGGATAGGTCAGTTATCGCGGAACAAACTAGCTGCCGGCGGGTTCGCGTTAGAATCCTGTATCAGCCTTTCTCGCACACAGGTAACCAAGGATTTCTCAGGTTCTTACTTTCTGTGTTTTCGTCCTCCTCGCAATCCTATCACACCTTCCTTCTCCATTTCCCTCCCTCTCTCTCTCTCTCTCTCTCTCTCTCTCTCTCTCTCTCTCTTTCTTTCTTTCTTTCACTGTCTCTCACTATCTTTCTCTTTGTTTATCTATTTTCTTGATATACTGTCTCTTTGTTGGTCGTATTTGCAGCTCTACTGATCCGTAGTTGACACCCACTCACACTCCCCGTTAATGTTTGTCCTTTCTTTAGAGTATTCGCTTACCTGTTGTACCCAGCTCCGACCGAGATTCTCTCGCGCTGTTGTTGTGAATATCGAGTTACAAAGTGCTTCTGCTAGTTAATCACGGAGGGAGTCGATAACTGGATTAGGCCTTGCGCTGTTTTAATTGTGGGAGTTGATGGCAGCCTGGTGATCCGACGTGATTTCCACTCCCGAATAAATTATTTGAAAAACTAGTTTGAAACGTCGAAATATTTTTAAATCTGTTTGCGAAGTTCTTGAAACAAGACACAAATAGTCCAGGGGGTGTTAGAACTATTAATTGTGAAGTAATCAGTACTTTGTTGGCTACTCATGTTTCTAATTATTAACAACACGTTTATGAAACGTCTGTGGGGACATAGTGTCCATAAATTGCAGAGTGATAAAGCCTCGGTTGCAGGAGAAATCAACACTGTTGAGCATTCGTGTTTCCTATCCATGACAAAATAATTCCAAAATAGTTGTACAAGGAAACAGTGTTCGAAAAACATCATAGAAATTGATATATAATTGTGAGATATAATGCTCATCGATAGAAAGCTTTATTTAACACACAGTACTTAAAAGTCATTTTAAATGTAGATCTCAAAAATTCATCATTTTCATCTTTTGGTAGAGTATTTAAAAAATTATAACAACAAGTACATAATTCTAAAATCGCCCAATGAATAATAATTGCGAAATAATAATAATATTGCGAAATAAATTTATACTTTGATAAACCATATAAAAAGTTCGTACGAAAATACCTACTGCTTAAAATATATTTGAATGGTGTCACATAAAGTGTGACCATTTCAGAAAGTCTTCCAAACAGTCTCAGTCTTTAAAGAACGTTTCAGATGCTGTCAAACCATTAATAACAAAATAAACCAACATCCTATTTATCGTCTATAAATCATTTTAAAACATCTTTCACGCGGAGTCTTCCTTAATCCATTACCCTAAAATATCGTGTCGGTCTCGTTACGAAGATTTGGAACACGATCTACTAAATATGGATGTTATTCGCGACTTTTAAATAGAAATGAAACTCTACCCTCCTACGGCTAATATTTAAACATTCGAGTAATAATTGAGAAACATGAGATATAAATGATCTGTCTCGCGTATGAAATTATTAGTTGCAAACAAGTGTTGATTAAGGTAACTATGAAAGAAATCCTAGTGCAAGGGGTTAAAAGACGTCTTAGACGTGGTCAAATTGTAGTGAAATGAATGAACACCAGTAGATTGTTTTAGCATCTTACAACCATACACAGTCCTTACAGAACACCACAGAGATCATCAATCTATTTATAGTGAAATAAACGATCACCCTGTAGAACATTCTGGTTCGCAATCTGCAGCGATTCGTTCCCAAAGTCTCGCATGGAAATTCAGTCCTCAAAGAACCCGGAGTGTAAACCTAGCAAAGCCATTTCGAAAATTCTCCAAAAGAGCCCCATGGATTCCCGTAAGCCTCTTAATTGTAAGATAAACGTTCATCCTGTTGACATTTCGCGTTTTCAACGGGCCCCGGAGCTCCGGCAGAGAGATTAATCCAGTAATCGCTTCCGCCGGCTAACAAAGTGCTTCCGAAACCGTAGGCTAGGGGTGACTCGGTATACCGTGGAAGAACCACCTTAACTCCCCTAATTGCGAGACAAATCGCGGCGTCCTGTTGATCGCGCGCCCGTATCGCCCCCTCCCCGCGATTCCGTGGTACCGGTCCTGCACTTGTTGAATCCACCCTCGCGCGACTCGCCGCGTTTCGGCGCGGTTCGTGCTTTCCACCCCCGGTCTCCTCGAACAGTTTCCGATTGATCGTGTTTTCCCTGCGTCAGATCATCGTCTTTTTGCGAGCCCCTCTCGCTCGATGCGTGTTTTCGCGTTAAAAATAGTGGCCGAGTTCTCCCTTTGTCGACGCTCCCTTGATGCTCCCTTGTCACTCCCTTTGTCCCATTCGCAAGACGTTACTTCGTCGTCGCTTGCCACCCCATCGTCTCCGGTTGTCCCTGTTCTTCTCCGAGAGAAACTCAGAATCGCGAGATAGGTCAGTAACTACACGACGCTCGCCTTCGAGCCCTTTGGCTTCGTCTTCGTTCTCTCTTCCCTTTCGACTGCAATTTCCTGCGCCGCAAGGGGAGATTTCATGACCGTTGCCGTGGCAACCAGAAATAGAGAACGCGAGCGACCCTTGCCACAGGGAAACAGAGGATTGTCTACTCTCCCAGCTACGAAATGCGCAGGTGTGCGCATTATTCCAGCCGAAACTCTGTTCTCTCACGCCATCGCGAGTCGTCCGCGGGAACGACGGATAACGGCACTTAGCGGCACCTTTCGCGTTTGAAATCCCTGCGTGCATCGGTAGACCATAGACACCACTTCGTGTAGGCAAATCCTTGAAGGATTTGTAAATTGCGAGCTTCGATCGTACTCAATGCGGTTTCATATTTCATTCATTGGCACTCGTTGCAAAGAACATTGAATTTTTATTAAAGGGCCTACCCATTGTTGTTTATTAAAGGACCTACAATTCGAACGAACTTGCTAAATGTATTTAATGCATCTCCATTTTATTTGTCATTCATTGGGCACCGGTCGCAGAGAATACCGAATTTTTATTTCATTGCTGTTTTTTGGAAGACGTTCAGTTCATACAAGCTTGTAAAATGTTCTTTGTATTTAATGCACCTCCATTTTCTTTGTCGTTCATTGGCATCGGTTGTTGGAAATAATGAACTTCACTTTCGATTTTGTCTCCTCGGAGATGTACTTTTGCATGCATTTCTAAATGTACTTCATCCTTAGAAAGATGTAGTCGGTTTCAATAGATTGCCGATATTTGTGCACTTGTGGCATAAACGAATTTTTAAAATACTGGCGGAAGCATCCACTCAGAACAGATAGTACAAAATTAATTTTATATTCATCACAGGGAATTTTTCAAAGATTTTCTACATTTTGATGTTTACAAATTGGAATTTACATAAGGATTTGTTTCTCTAGCGTAGTCACTAAAACACTTGGTCTTGTTTGCAAAAACAAGAAAAAACATATGCGCAACTATAGGTAAAAAGTATTGAACGAATAAATCATAAGATTAAAATTTCTATACATGGAGACCGTGGTTGTACGAATTGTATGAAAGTAATTAAACCCATACAGAGAATTTTAATAATTAAAAGCAAAGTATTACGTACGCACTAAGCCCGGCGTAGACAATTACGAATGAAAATGCAAAAACTAGTATTAAGAAAGATTAAAATCTCCATTAACTATTTTTTTATTAAGGATTTTTAAATTACCACTAAATCCTGGATTTCTAAGCAAAACGTTCGCAATTGCCAATTAAATCACAAACATTAAACGAAATCTGTTACACATTTTGTCTTGCTAGGCTTTTCATAAATATGAACATCGCATGAATCTTTATGTACCATTTTTCTGTGTATACGAAGTTTTACGAGACGACTACGTTCCCCGTCTTTGTGCAACCCGCATTTAATGAAACGTTGTTCGCGAGTAATTGCGTGTAAAAAACGAGAAAGCGTCCGTCGCAAATTAGCGTTGCGTTTGATATTCAGGACCGCCGCGAATCCGGAGCACGGCGACGAAATCGGCGCGTTCTTGCACGGAGCCGACACGTTTCGGCGAAACGGCGTTAAATCCGCTCCGCGGAGGTTTCAGAAGCAGAAACGGTCGCAAATCGCTCGGAAAATAAGGCGCGCACGTGAAGGCGGTTTTAAAGCCGTGGCTCGTAACCGTAATTTATTCCGAGGCAGCCCGCAAACATTTACACGTGGCCAACGTTGATGAACCGTCAGCCTTCTCGCCGATTGTTCCTTCCGAAGAGAGAGAAATAGAGACATGGAGAGACAGAGAAAAAGAAAGAGAGAGAGAGAGAGAGCTCAGCCCGATTTTTCCGTCGACGTTGCGTCCTCCGTGAAACGTAATACGTTATTAACAAAGACTTCGCCGTTTCCGTCTAAAAATAAAACCCGCCTCGCGTTTCCAGCTGCCATGAGCGAGAACCGCGGCTTTCAGAGACGCGGCGAAACTTCCGTCGACGAAGGAAACGCGAATTTATTAAACGACAGCTATTGTGTCATTTTGCACGGCTATCTTGCAGCTTCTTGCGATTGTCTGCGCCCAGGTTGCAGGGATTTTGCGCGTGTTGCATGATTTATGGTTGCATGGCCGTCAGAAGGTCACAGTTTATTACAGAAAATTCGGTCAGATTCTGTTGGTAACTGTTAGTGAAGGGTGGCTGTGTGTCCAATGCTTATTCAGTCTTACAGAAAGTAATGAGACTCGAAGTAGTTTCGAAAAATGTTTAATAGTTTAGTATTAGACAATGTTTAATAGAAGTCGGTACGATCTTAGATCTTGTCTTGTCTGTGAAAACGATTATAGAAATTGATTCAGTACGCTGTTGATTTTTGTGCATTTATAGATAGGTTCGGTATGGCATTTACTTCAACATTAACAAATTATTGTCGATGATGGTAGTATTTGAAAATTAGAACAGTACTACAATCTCTATCGGTTGTATTTTCTTTTCAATGTAATCACCGATCAAGGAAAGGCTAATTGCCTAATTAAAATTTCTCGAAATCAGTAGACAAGAATGCGGATTTCTATCAACATCCTTGGCCTGCTAATCATGAATCGTAAACAGATTTAGGAACTGTCGGGAAACCTTGTTACCGTCTTTCATCGTCCAAT